ATTGCAAAGTTCTCCATGTACTTAAGAAGTTGCCATCAACAGAAAATAAAGAGAACCTTGAGGCATCAGTGGACAGTGTTAGGGCACAACTTCAGATTCTTCCCCTCCAGAGCAGAATACGTACAACTGCCCAGGCCAGAGGAAGGATGCCCAATACTGAGAAAGTGACAAAACCGTGAACACCTGTTCTGACTTAGAAATGCCTTGAGCTGGACTGAGGCAGCAGAAGTGGGATCAGAATCAAGTGAATTAAGAAGCAGTGACTCTGGAGCAAGTTTCCTTGTCTTTCTGTGGCAGCCAGAAAATTATCGGAAAAATAAGTAGACTTGCATTTCAGGAATCTGATTGCAAACATTTTAGAAACGCACAGCCAGGGCCCAAATAATGCCTGGGATGCCTTCACCACGAAGAAACATAATCTAAGTGATGACTGCTGACTCGACCATTTTCCACATAATTGTACTAAATTTTTCTTTTTTCTTCTCTAACCCTTAATCGATGTCAGGAGAGTCCTTTCCTCTATCCTGTGTGTTCTGACCTGACAGTCTATAGAACTGAACATTCTGCAAATGCAGAATGGGATTTTGCATTTTTAGCACTTTTGCAAATCAACTAGGCTTAAATAAGGAGAATTTTTGCTTAATAATTCTCAGTTGGTTTAATTGCCCCTGGAAGTGAAGGTGCAATGCTGATTTCAGTAGTCAAAGGGCATGAGCTGCCTTCCATTTTCATGTCTCGCCCTGACCACGGTGCTGAGGATAAGCTGTGCTGGGACAAGGATGGGAGCAGAGAGACCATCTGGGAAGCCACTGCAGTAATCTGGGGAAACATATTTGAGTGACCTTAGATCAGGTGGGCAGCTGGGGAAATGCTAAGAATTGGTCACATTCTGGGTTATTTAGACATTAGAGAAGCAGAATTTCTGATGCCTTGGAAGTAGGCTCTGGGAGAAATAAAGGAGCCAAATTTAACACCATGCTTTTTTGATATAAGCACAAAGATGGTCTCTAAAGCCACGATGCATGAGATCCCAGAGAGCAAGAGCAGGCAGAGGAAGGGAGCAAGGGCTGAGCCTGGATCACCCCAATGCTGAGAGGTCGTGGAAAGAGAGGACCTGGTAGCAGAGGTGGAAAAGAAGTAGCCAGTGGGGTGGGAAGAATCGGAGAGGTGGGGGCCTGGATGCCAAGTGAGCAAAGTACATAGAAGAATAAGAGGAAGCGATCAGCTGGGGCAGGCTTGATGATGAGTATGATGAGCACACAAGGATGCAATAAACACAAGAGAGAAAGGTAGTCTGGAAAAGAGGATTGTTCCTTCTATCAAGGATCCTGCAAAAGCTTCACGGTATAAGTTACACTTGAGCAGTTCAAAAACTGTAGGGTTTCTGAGGGTGTGAGAGGTGAGAAGGCAGCCTGGCTTGTGCTTAGACATGGAGGTATGCTACATTCAGAAAAGGCATTGTTGAAAGGTCTAGAGGAGTGGGCATGTGTATGGAAAAATAGCAGTGGGTGAGATCAGGGAAGGCCAAGGCCAGATGAGGTGAGTTTTACAGGAGCCGCTGGTGGGCATGAAGCAGAGGAATATTGGAGGCAGAATTGCACCGTCGAAAGATTGCTCTGGCTTGTGGGTGGAGGGTGGATTGGAGGGAGGAAGGAAGACATCGGGGCATACAGCAGGGAGCTGTTGCTGTTGTCCACGTGGGAGGCTGGAATAGCGGTTAATGTTCAACTGTGCTCTTATCTTGGAAAAGGGAGCGCATGGACTTCTGGACTGCAGGTACTCTCATCCAAAAGAAGCCTTGGACTCTTTAGCAACTACTGTGTTGACTTTTGATGGTAATCAGAACTGATTAGAACTCTTATTTCCATCAGACATTGTAAGTGCTTGAAATGTATCTGTTCATGTTATCTCCCAAATAAGCCTATGGAATTCGTATTACTGCCATCCCCATTTCTCAGAGGAGAAAACCGAAGCACAAAGGTGCTAAGTTAGTTGTGCACCCACACATAGCTAAGAAGTGGCAGAGCTGGAAGAGACCTCTGCACGAACCACTTCCGTGGCTCTGCTTTGTTTCACGAGGTGAGGCAAATCCACTGAGGGAGGAGAACATAGGCCCTAATGACTAACAAGCCCATGAGAAGCAGGTCCCCCTTCTGATGTGGAAGCATCAGGGGAGAAGGACCAGGGACTGTCAGATCCTCACTTGGGACAAAAACAAATGGTAGGGTAAGACCCACCAGAGGATTGAGTCCTGAGCACAGACACAGCCCCGTGCTTGTTCTGAGAAGCTTCTGAACTAGGGCTGAGTCAGAAAAAACAAATAGAGAAGTCAAGAGATACAGAGGAAATAGGGATAACCAGCTGGCTGTGGAGAAAGCGGGAGAAGGAGTCCAGGGTGGCAGCCATGGGCTGGGGCACAGAGCAAGAGCAGCATCCTTGTTTTGCTACTGTTGTAACCCAAATCACGGAGGCCCGTCGGGAAGTGGCAGTCTCCAAACACGTCCAATCTTTCTGCCTAGAAAGGGATTCTTCTTTACCTGATCCTGGTCATGCAACTAGTGATGGGATAGGATGTGTTGCCTGTCAGGCTTTATGGCAAGAGAAGCCATTTACACGTGGAGCCCTCTACATTTTCAGCTCCACTTCTTCACCTCCCCAACCACACAGTGGCATCCAAACCATGCCATTCACCTCCCCTGGAAGCCTCCACGCCTGCGGCGATGCTATGGCTTCTGTCTCCATCCCTTTTCAGCTCAAAAAGCTCCCCATCCCCTTGCGAATCTTTGCCCAAATTGCAGATCCTCTAAGAAATCTTTCTGCCCCACCTTAGAACGACTTGCGCCTTCCTCTGCTCTCTTTCAGATTTCGCATTTGTTTCCCTTGGTAACCTAAAAAGAGAAATCCTTTGCATTTCGTCTCAGTGTTTGTTGAGTTCACAGTAAGCACTTGGTAAATATTGAAGAAATGAACAAACAAATGCATGTCGTTTGCAGGAATCTGGATGGAGCTGGAGGCTGTTATCTTTAGGAAACTAATACAGGAAGAGAAAATCAAATATTGGATGTTCTCATTTGTAAGTGGGAGCTAAATAATAAGAACACACAAACACTTAGAAGGGAACAACAGACACAGGGGCCTACCGGAGGGTGGAGGGTGGGAGGAGGGAGAAGATCCAGAAAAATAACTAATAGATGCTGGGATTAATACCTGGGCAGCAAAACAGTCTGCACGACGAACCCCCATGCCATGAGTTTACCTATGTAACAGGCCGGGTGCGGTGGCTCACACCTATCATCCCAGCACTTTGGGAAGCCAAGGCAGGTGGATTACTTGCAGGCAGGAGTTTGAGAGATGACCTATATAATAAACCTGCACAGGTACCCCTGAACTGGAAAGCAAAAAAAAATTTTTTTTAACCACAAATAAATGTCTGAAATGCTTTAATTAGTTCTTGTCTTCTTGTCTTCACTGGTTTGCTTTTACTGCCTGGAACCAGCAGAGGGTTAGCAGAACCATGACATGACTGTGGCACTTGCCCGTTTGTCTGGAATTACTTCACCACCAGGAGAAATCACGTAACCTTTGAACCCGAATGTGTTTCCTCCACTGTCAAGCAGGGCTTATAGCCCCATCCTGAAGCATCACTGTGAAGACTCGGCATGCTAAGGAACGTGTGTGCTGGGTACCATGCCGCCATATTCAGCATCAGCCAGGAAGTGGTAGATGTGGTGGTGGTGATTAAAACAGGAATCAGTCTGTTGCATCATTTTCCTTTGCGAAGGGACTACTTCTTCAAAGAGTGATTGTTGTGGGTCTAATTGCGTCTTCCAAAAAGATATGCTGAATCTTAACCCTCTGTATCTGTTAACCTGACCTCATTTGGAAAGAAGGTCCTTGTATATGTTATCAGATTAGGATGGGATTATACTGGATTAGAGTGGTTCCTCATTTAATAATTAGACGTTTTATAAGAGGAAAGAATTTTGAACACAGAGACACAGACACAGGGAGAGCACCAGATGTTGATGGGGGCAGAAACTGAAGGGATGCATCTAACAGCCGAGGCATAGTGAAGATTGCCACCACAACCAGAAGCCAGGAAGAGATGAGGAAAATCCTGTCCTAAAATCGTCAGAGGGAGTGTGTCCCCAATGACGCCTTGACTCCAGAACTTCTAGCCTCCAGAAATATGAGACAATACATTTCTCTTCTTTCAAGCCATATAGTTTGTGGTCCCCTGCTACGGTAGCCCCAGAAACTAATAATTCTGTGGATTTGTGCTTCTAAATAGAAAATAAAAACTTATAAATCATTCTCGTAAATCATCTGAGAAGTTAGAGGCCTCTAGGATTAAGGGGGAAAAGCCTGCCCCATATGTCGAGATGGGAGGAAAAGAAACCAAAAGACCCCAATATAACGTGTGGAATCTAGCGAAATCAACATTTGAGATATTTTTTCAACAATCCAGTTTCTTCCCTGAGATTTTATTGTTGGGTTCATAAATTAATTTGACAAGCATGTTTCACCTGCAGAGAGCCAAGATGGCCACGCTGGTAAGAGCATGGGCTTTGGAGTTCCACAGGCTTTGGGTTCAATCTAGGCTTCCCCACTTAGCAGCCAGTGGCCTTGGGCAAGTTACTTAGCCCACGTAAGCCTCAGCCTTCTTCCATGTCCTTCTCTGGGTTTGCTGTGTGGAGTCAATAGCTGATATTTGTGATAAGTGCAACAGAGCATTGCCTGTGGGTATGATGCAATCTGCTCCCAATGTATATCCCCAAAGGAACAATCTGTCCTCAGCAGAAATCAGAGCATCCTCAACACTTAAAGAGCAGACATTCATACATGTGGATGAAGCAGAACCAGAGACACCTGAGCTTGACTGAAAGAAGGAGAAAGGCGCATCATGCTTAGAGCAGGAGTGTTCAAGAGAAGTGTGAAAAAAACAAAAACAAACCACACCCTGACATCCTCCTTGGACAGATACAGCAGGACACGTGTTTTCATTGTGAAGATAATCTTTATTTGATTTTCATCACCTTTCAATGAAAGAGTGGATCCTGTCAGCACTACGCAAAAAAACCTTTCAAATATATCTTAAGAGTATTAATTTCGTTTTAAATGAAAGAAAGTGAAGAAAGTTTATGTTAGGAGAAGGTATAATAGAAGCTTGGTTAAATGTAAGCAGGTTTCTATCAAGAAAAACAGTACCATTCCTCCATTAAACCAGCCATAAAAACATACTATTTTGCATGTTCTCAAGAGAGTTGTTCATAAAAGAGAAGCTGGTTAGTCCTTTTCTTCTTCTTAGCGACCAAATCAATGTGCTGTGTATTTAAGCATCCTGGCAAGACATGAGTCAAGGGAATGAGAAGCATACTGCTAACCAGTATGGAATACCAGCCCTGTTTTCCCAAAGGTAGAGAGACACACAACATTTTCAGTTGCAACTAACACAAGACCTGTGGAGGTCGTGGCTTTGGCCCATTGAGTCTGGGTAGCTGACCTAACTTCAGTCCTCTTGGGTTCTTTCTCTGGTCGAGGCTGCCTTAGTGCTGATGATATGGCAGGACCGTAGTCACTGGGATTGGGTATTCCAAGGCGTTGCAGTCATCTGACAAGAACACCAAATCCTGAAAAAGATGTGCAATGAGAGGAAAGTTACTGAAGATGCTGTGGAGTCCATATGCAACAATAGGGCTCTTGGTTATCCTCAAAGGCCATTCAGTTGTTCCCCTATGTGTGAAAACACCATCCCTTACTCTTCCCAGAAAAGAGCTAGTCACTTCTTACTTTACATTCCGATAGAATTTCATGGTTTTTAAAATTATTATCACTTACGGAATTCATGCATCCATTGGTTGACCAGATGGATAGATGGTGAAGGAAGGAATGAATGGGTGAAGGAGGGAATGAATGAATGAACCTTAGTTGCGGAGCAGCACCCTGGGCCAGGCATAGGAATAACCATGAAGAGCAGGCCAGCCCTCACTTCATTCAATACCACTACTCATCACACTGGATCATAATTGTATCAGCTTCCTCTCTTCCTCCACAAACCAAGGGGACCATGAAGGAGGAGGAAACTGGGTGTGGGCATGGGGGGAAATGCATTACGAAGTTTTCATACAGGAACAAAGAAAGTATAACTTAAGAGCTAATTACTATGGTTTTCAGAGGCGCTTACTCTGGGTGAGGCATGGTGCTAGGAATTCCATATTTGGTCACCCTACTAGGCTTCTTAGGATCAAGGGAGTCACTGCAGTGCCCACACAAGGTAAGGGTGTAATTATTATTATCCATCCAGCAGTCTCATGAGGTGGGACTGTTATGTCTTCAGTTCAGGACTGAGGAAACTGCCTTGGAGGAGTGAAGGGGCACTGTTGTGATTTGAATATGGTCCCAAAAGTTTATGTGTTGGAAACTTAATCCCTCTGCCTTTGTACATGAATGAATGTAGGCTCTGACTTAATGAATGGATTAGTGAGGGCTATGCTCTTATGAATGGATTAATGTCATTACCTTGGGAGAGGGTTGCTTATTGTAGGAGTGGCTTTGTAAAAAAGGAAACACTCTTTTGTCATTTATACTTCAGTAAAGCTGGAAAAAATATTTGTTGAATTGATAAATCAATATAGTAATTTCTTGTAAAAAAAAAAAAAAAAGGAAACACTCTCTGGCTCTTACCCTCTTGCTGTGTGATGACCTCTGCCTTGGTATGATACAGCAAGAAGGCCCTCACAAGATGCCAGCACCATGCTCCTAGACTTCCTTCTAGCCTCCTCCATAAGCTAAATAAACTTCTTTTTAAAAAATAAATTACCCAGCCTGTGGTACTATGTTACAGCAGCAGAAACAAGTTAAGATAGGCACTCTCACTTGGGAAGCGGGGAGATACATACAGACCCAAGCTCAGGGCTCTCTGATGCTGAAGTCTGTGCCCTGCAATCACATGCTCTACTTTCCACCTTTTAACTATTGCTGATTTTCTGTCCCTTTCCCCTCTCTTACCAGAATTCTCTTATCAGAGCACACCTGAAGTCCTTCCTGCAGAGTCTCCTCTAACCTGCCCCATCTGGCTCCTGACAGAGTCTACCTATGTGGCTGGGGTGTGGTCCTGGGGTGTAGCCCCTGCATCAGTGTGCAGCTCATGGAGGAAAGGGGCCTTGTCCTGAACCCCATCACTGAACAAGGCAACCGTGGTTGAGGAAGGGCTTTGTGAACTGAAAGCACCTGCGAAACATCTCTGCTCCTCTTCCTTGTCCCCCTCTCCTCCCAACCTTCCTCTTTGAAAAGCTCAGAAAGTCTTGGCTGATAGCAAATAGAAAATGGATTTTCAATGGCAACCACTTACTCTCCTGCAGAACGAGTTCATGATGGTGTACAGCTTCCGCGCTTTCTCCTTCAAGGAATCCACCTGGGCCACCTTCTGACACTGTGACGAGGCCACAAAGTCCCGCAGCTTGTCCAGCACACAGTAATTCTGGGAGTGGGGCAATGTGGAGAGGGCTCGTGGGAGAAGTCAGTAGCCAGAGGGACAGAGACTGAGCTGCATAAGATTTCTCCCTGACTCTGTGCCACACAGCCAGCAGCAGAGGTCCAGACCCGAGTACCTCAGCCCCAGACCTCCCTCCCCCAGGGAGAGCCTTCTTACATGTATGTCCAGATACAGCCTGGGCAGGTATCTCACACACGGCTCCTGTGGAAAGGGATACAGACTGTTGGGATGCCCACAGGGGCACACCTAGTCACTAAAGGCTTCCTGCCGGCTCTCTCCACAGCCAGACTCGCCCAGATCCCAGGAGGCTCCCTGATGCTACGGCATGCACAGTGCTTTCTTGGGCCATATGTCACATCCTCCAGGAATGTGCGACTGCGCTTCCAGAATTAGACTTTTAGGATGCAACCTTTATATCATTTGCCATGAATTAGGGAGCTGTTTTATACGCACACCCATACAGAAATATACATACACGTATATATATAAAAGTGGTCCTATAACTATAATATAGAAATAGTAATATATATTATAGTAATGCAAGTATATATACACAATGTATATGTACATCTACAAAACAGTTCTATAACTAGTTATATAACAGTTGCATAACTGCATGTAATTATAGATAGTGTATATAATTATATAAGTAAAATATATATAATTATATATATTAGTTATATAGGTGTTCTATAACTAGTTATATAGGTTACTTATTTATATATAGCCATATATATAGCTATATAACTAGTTATCTATATCATGTATATTATATATAACTAACTAGTTATATAGGTTAGTTATATAACACCTATATATGTTATAGGTGTTTTATATATATATATAACTAGCTAGTTATATAGGTGTTCTATAACTATATAGTTGTACAAAGTGTATAATATAGTGATACAGAAGTATATATATATATGCACACTTTTACATTTCTACATTAGGCTTCTGTTTTTGTGCTGGGCTGAAGGTCAAAAGCCCTCATTATCTGCCCTTTCAGTCTTCCCCGTGTGGCCATAGGCAAGTGCCCCCCTTTAGTTCTCAGTTGTGAAATTAGAAGGTGAGAAGATATAGTCTTTTCGCTTTCTTCCCGCTCTGCAGTTCAGAGCCTACGAATTTTTTAAACCTTTTAAAATCAGATTCCTTTAAAAGATAATTGCTTTCTATATTTGATAAGAAACTTATGGGTAAATTGTGGTGAAACTGTACAATAAAGTGTTAAAAATTAACTGATTTGATGGTGTTATTAAAAAGTTGCAAAACTGCTTGTGCTGTTTGATTCAAATTTTGTTTACACACACACACACACGTATTTGAATATCTATGTGTGGACAGAAATCTGAAACACCGTCCTTCGGAACGCTGTAGCAGCAGCTACCTCTAGGTGGTAGAATTATGAGCAAGATTTATTTTCTTCTTTGTACTTTGTACATTTTCCAACTGTTCTACAAAGTACAATACCTTTATAATTAGGAAAAAATGCATGTTATTTAACTTTTAAAAAGAAAATACCAAGAAGGTGTTAGGATACTGTAAACTCCAACACTGAGAAACATGTTTTGTTTGAAACATTTGCAAGTGATTAAAAGACACTTTAAAATGTTATCAAAGCTTTTAATGAAGTTTAATGCATTTTGTGACAGAGAAGCAGGCAGAGGCCTGGATTCTAGTCCCTGGCAGCCCTCCTGGGACTTCCGCTCTGTGACACCCTAGGTCTTGCTCTTAAGATCGTGCTTTCAGTAGCCGGCATCTGTTGAGTACTTGTTCCTGCAGGCTCGGCTCTGTGAGCTGTACCTCTGTTCACGTCTGCCTTTGATTGTCAAAGCTACTCTAAAGGGAGTGGTGCTATTGTCATTCCATTTTACAGACAAGAAAACTGAGAGCCAGAGGCTGACAATTTGCCGGAATCCCTTAGCAGATGAGGGGTGGAGGCCAGCTCTGTGAGCCACCTTTTAGGACACACTGCTCACCAGGCTAACACAAGCTTCATTCCTCTGTCCTCCTCTCTGAGGACTCCAAGGGGAGCTATTTTTCTCCCCCTCCTCCTCCTTTTTTTTTCATTTTACAACAGATCTTCTGATATTTGCTTTTATAAAGCAAAATATCTTCTGATATTTGCTTACATAAAATTTGTAACAAAATTTAGGATGTCTTTGATTGCTTTTTCTTGCTATTTTTTTTTTATATTATTATACTTTAAGTTCTGGGATACTGTATGCAGAACGTGCAGGTTTGTTACATAGGTATACACGTGCCATGGTCGTTTGCTGCACCCATCAACCTGTCAGTATCTACATTAGGTATTTTTTTTTAAGAAAGCAAACCACTGGTATCATATTTAGTAGGAGGTGAATAAAACACAAATACCCTTGAGATTTACATTTACTTTAAGAAAAGTAGTCTCTCTCTCTCTCCTCTCTCTCTCTCTCCTTGTCTCTCTCCTGGGCGGTAGGGGAACTCACCGAGGGGCCCGAGGTCTGCAGGAGCTGGAAGTCCTGGGTGATCTCCCGGCTCAGCGCCCGCAGGCGTGAGTAGCAGGTCGGGGGAGCAGGCCGCGCGGCGGGGACCCCCGCCAGGAGCAGCAGCAGCACGGGCAGCGGCGCAGGTGTCCTCATGGTGCCAGGCGCTGGTGCAGCCTCGCCGCCCGCCCCTTTATGCAGGCTGGGGGTGGCCCAGGGCGGCTCCACGCCTCCACTTCCTGTGGGGCCAGCGCAGGCTGCCGTCCAGCCAGGATGGGAGAAGCAGCCAGCACAGGAATCCATCCAGATGCCAAAGCGCCAGGTTAAGAGGAGGGGCTGCCTGGGGTGGGGGTGACAGAGGGTGGCTCTGTCTCCCCCACACTTTCAGCAACAAGTTTCTCTCTCTCCAGGGACTTTTCCTGAAATGGCAGGAGCAGCAGATGGAAAGGGGTGGGGGACAAGAGGAGAGCGGAGGCGGGATGAGGTGAGGGTAGGAGAAGAGTGGGCAGCCAGGCCTGGGTTTGGATGGCACTGTTTGTCAAAATGGATATAGTGCCAGGAGGGAAAGGAACTAGAGGAGGATGACTGGGCATCATTCCCTCCAGGCAGCCTGCGGTGGCGCAGGGGTGCAGGGCTGAAGGGCTGAGGACAGGACACCAGTGTCATCGCCCATCAGTTGCTAGCCAGGAAGTGAGCCCAGGGCCAGGGCTCCCCGCCTCTGAGAAGCTGTGTGTGTCTCTCCGTCTGGAGGAGCGGCTCACTCAGCGGCTGTATGTGTGGGGAATGTGAGTATCCGCACGCTCTTCCACCTCCAGCTCCCAGCCCAGGTCCCCAGGAAGCGTTAGTTCTCAAGAAGCACATGTCCCTCAGGGGTGCCCTCCCAAGGCAGTGGCAGGTAAAGGTTTAGGCTCTCCTCTTAGCGCCCTGGGAGCAAAGCAGGGTCACTCGCTTCTGGCTTTGACTTGGGCAAATTCCTTCAGTGTTTCCTCCATCTTCTTATCTGTGAGGTGAGGATGTTAAGAGTGGCTCAAAAGGCCATAGTGAGGAATCCCGGGACACAGCACCACTGAGCAAACCTCACGCCAGGCTCGTTGTGTGTTTCCAAGTGATCCGAGCGGACAGCTCCATCTCCGTTAAATCCAGCAAGTGTCTCTGTGAGGTAGGTACCACAAAAAAAGAGTCCCATTTTCCAGGTGGGAAAACTGAGGCTCAGAGAGTTCCAGCAACTTGCTGGTGGTCACAAAGCTGGAGGCACATGGAAGCAATAAGGATCTGTCAAAAGAGAGAAGATTCTTCCTTAACACTAAGCGTTACTTACACACCTGCAGCCACTAGATCAGCTACCATCGGGAGTGCCTCACAGCCAATGAAGTGAATGGGATTATTCCCATTTCCCAGGCGAGGAAACTGAGGGCCTCAGGGGATATGAAGCTGGGAAGAACAGTGGAGCCCTGGAGCTATGTCTGGACTTTCCAGTCTCCAAAGCTTCCTCCAACAAGGGAGGAAAGGGGAGTGTCCTGGGTGAGCTGCGCATCCCCAGAACAAAACAACCAAGATGCAGCCCACAGGGGTGGATGAACTAGAGCGTGGCATCCTGCTCCCAGTTTATTGGGAGCAGGGCTGGAGTGAGGATCAACCACGGGGATGATGCCTGGCTCCAGCTTGTCCCCACTGTATTTGCCAGGAGAAATCCCTTCGGGAGCTGGCCTCTGTTCCCTGTCCGTAAACAGGATAGCATCACCCTGAGCATAGGTTCCTTCCAGTCCTGATGTTTTATTTATCTAGTTTCTGGTGGTAAAAGCCCTGGGCAGGGACTGTAAGCCGTGCCTTCCTGTTTTGTAGGTGAGAATGTGGTCTCTAAACACCTCTAGCAAGATGAGAGAGACCACCCTCTCAGCCAGGGCAGAACTGTGTGTGCTTGGAGGTGGCAAGCGGAGGCACAGATGTGTTTTCTTCCGGATAAAGAAGTCTCCGCACTCCCTCCGTGGTAGTGCCTGGGGCCTGGGCCTCCCTGCAGACTAGCTGGCCCGAGCTGGGGACTCTAGGTCTGCTTTGAAATGCGCCAGGGCTTCTGGATGTGTTCATGGAACGGGCTTAAATTCAGAGCAGGGAAGAAAAACAAGCCCACGGACCAAACAAGTCCTGCACCTTTAGACCAAGGAGCCGTTGCCATGCTGGAAAACAGGAGCTGTCTGTGAGTCTGAAGTTGAGATAAATGTGCTGTTGGGAGATTTGACCCTGTTCCACCCACAACACCGCGTGCAGTTATTCATGGGACTTCTTGGGCAAATCAGCTGAGCTCAGAGCTGCAAGGAGGCATACAGCCCTTCCCATTGAGCATGAGAATGAATCAGTGACTGGCTGTAGCCCTCAGCTGTCACTGGTACCAACTGAGACATGGTGGATGCTGGGCCCCTGAGGAGTCACATTCAGTGGGGAGACAAGGAATGAGGCTGCCGTGCACTGTGCCAGGCGCAAGGGAACCACCACTTCTAACTCCGCCAAGTCAGGAGTGGGATGATCAGGAAGCATCCCAGAGGAGAAGGTGCATCGTGCTGATTCCCAGGGCAGATGGAGATAAGGAAAACAGCCTGTGCCGAGGCCAACATGCCCAAGTGTGCGTGCCAAGACTAATGTCTGCAAGTGTGCACCCCGGGAATTCTTTCTGCTCTCTGCCCCTCTCCAGGGTTCCCCTGCATCCTCAAAACTATAGGTTGACTTGCCCTCTGGCATCTGTCTCTTTTAACGACCATGCCCTTCTCCAGGAGAGAGGGATGGTCTTCTTCATTGTTTGTCAGCACCCAGCGTGCAGCCAGGTAGAGTGGATGATCCAGAAGGTGTGGCTGAGTGTTCTTCTTGGCTACTCATGTTACTCAGAGATTAAGGCACAAGCCCACTAAGAAACCTACGCAGGACAGCCGGAAGTGGTTCCCCACCAGGGGCTCCCGTGCGATGCTGCACTGGATACAGGCTGGTGGAGCCCCACATGTGTGTTCTGTTCTCAGATGTCTCCTGTACCACGAATCACCTGAATCCTCCCACCAGCTCTTTCTCTGCTCCCTGCTAAGGCTCCTTCAGCAGTTGGCTGCTCTGAATGTTAAAAATCCATGCAGGAATTTTCCCACAAATCAGGTAAGCCCTTGTCTCCCCCAAAAGGTCTCTCCTAGCTTTCTTAATGTCGTAGATGGGGCATGGACCCCATCATGCCAGGAGAGCTGAACAGTCAGAGCTAACAAGCAGGTGAACATCTTTCAGGTAGATATCGGCCATTGTCTTTGGATGGATTCTTCATTGACCAGATGTGTGTCTATCTATCTATTTATCGAGAGCCTATTATGTGCCAGCACTGAAATGGGTGAAAAGACAGTGAATGACAGAGACAGAGTTTCTGTCCTTTTGGAGATTGATGAGGGCAATTGACACTCTGGGTAAGCAGTGTGACAACAGAAAGCCTGGTGTTTCTGGAGCCCCTAATCCATCACTGGCAGCCGCTCCATCTCAGGTGAGAGCTGAGAGGTGAGGAATGCAGTGGGGAAGTGGGGTGGCCATGAAGGCACGTGTGTGTATAGGTGTGTCTGTGTGTCTGTGTTTGTGTGTGTGTGTGTGTCTCTGTGAAAGACAGAGAGTGTTGGAAATAGATGCTCGGTGACACAAAGAAAAATCAGCACTCAGAGAGTGGGATGTCCAGCTTCGGAGTGGTAACCTTTGTTGCGCTAATGATGAAAAAGAATTAAATATGGGTGATGTTGAGAAAGGCAAGAGGATTCTTATGCAGAAGTGTTCCCAATGTCACACGGTGGAAAAGGGAGGCAAGCACAAGACTGGGCCTAATCTCCATGGTGTCTTTGGGCGGAAGATAGGTCAGGCCTCTGGATTCACTTACACTGAAGCCAATAAGAACAAAGGCATGGACACGGCCGTCGCCATGGTGAAGCTGAGCAAAGAGGCCAAGCAGAGGCTGCAGCAGCTCTTCAAGCAGGGCCAGTTTGTCGTCAGCTGGGGTTTTATTCCTCTTGTGATTTACCTGGGATTTAAGAGAGGTGCAGATCCTGGAATGCCTGAACCAACTGTTTTGAACCTACTTTGGGGATAAAGGATTATTTGGTCTTCTGGATTTAGAAGCAATTAGCAGACAGCATGGAAGATGTGTGCTCTGGCTTGGATAAGAGATGGGACATCGTTCTGTTGCCAGTTGGATGGCACAAGGTTCATCACAGATGAATCTGTAGCAGAGCGGAACTTGTACTAACTTACTATAGAATGTATCAGAATAAATGTTTTTAACAATGTTAAAAAAAAAAAAGAACAAAGGCGTCATCTGGGGAGAGGATACACTCAGGGAGTATTTGGAGAATCCCAAGAAGTATATCCCTGGAACAAAAATGATCTTTGTCGGCATTAAGAAGACGGGAGAAAGGGAAGACTTAATAGCTGACCTCAAAAAAGCTACTAATGAGTAATAATTGGGCACTGCTTTATTTGTTACGAAACAAATGTTTCATGACTTTTTTATGTGTACCATACTTTAATAGATCTCATACACCAGAATTTACATCATGAATGACTGACAGAATATTTTGTTGGGCAGTCCTGATTTAAAACTAAGACTGGCTTGTGGTTAAATGAATATGTTCAGTTTTTGGATTTTAATAGTAATTACTAATTCCAATTTAGTAAATTCTATCACTGTTTACCCCTTCTGAAGATATGATTAGACTTCGTTAGTAATGTTAAACTTTTCTCAAAGATGGTGAATGCCATCTTAAAACTTACTGGAGATTAGTTTTATATTTAGATTTATATAACTGGTTATGTGAATATATTTAAATATGGGGGATATTCCTTCGCTGTCTCAGAACCAAGCAAGATTCGCCTGTGTTTTGTGTTCATTTGCCTCTTAAAGGCAAGGATTGAAGATAAATGGGTAGCAATGGCTATTTTATATTTTTAGCCTTAACTATGCCAATCTAATTAGAATTCCCTGTATTTAAAGTGGTTCTTTTTACTTATTGAAAGGCATTTTGTGTGGTTTATGTGTAATATTAAAAATTATTTAACACTTCACACATTTTATAGATGATCTATAAGGTCACATGCTTTTAAAATAGTAGCCAATTAAACTTCACTCTTGAATTCTTTACAATCTAAGTCTAACTAAGTTATAATTTAGGATTGTCTTTAAGCAGCCATTCAGAAACAAAATGGTACCACTGCTGTGTATTTGTGATTGGGAATGGTGCTTTTGCCAACTTAAAAGGATTAAAGTAGAGGAAATATACACAAATTTAAAAAAAAAAAAGAAAGAAAAATCAGCACTGAGACATAGGATCTTTCAGCAACACAATTTTTCCTTCCTGAACTCCAGGAAGGGTACCCTCACTAGCCATCATGCCGCAAGAGTACAATGAACAAAGGAAAACACAAAACAATGAACAAAGGAAAAATAAATAAGATTTATCCCTTATGCATTTGGGGTTGTCCTTACTGCTGTGTGTGATCTCTGTTGGCTGGTGCCATAACTCACAATCTAAACTAAGACCCGATTGCCTAACAACTTAAAACTTTTCTAAACAGGTAGAAGCAATGGAGAGCTGGCTGTGAGCATGTCCAGCAGCACAGATATCTTGGTTGAAGCACAAGGACATAGAATGTACTACGTGCCTGTAAGCATGGCATGTCTAAACAGCTGCATAGGATAGGGCTTAACAAAGTTATTAGCACACTTATTCTTTAACAAAAAAGGAAACTTTAAAAAGGAACTTTTCTACTTCCCATAGAGAGTAGACAGGTTGTAAGATGCTGTGCTGCCGGCTCTGAAGATGGAAGAAGAGGCCCATAGCCAAGGAATTCAGAAGGCCTCTAGAAACAGAGAATGTAAACAAAGATTTCTGCCCAGGGCTTCCAAAAGGGGCCCAGGGAGATCCCTTCTGACCCCAGCACTGTAAGATCATAAATTCATGGAGTTTGGAGCCCCTCGGTGTGTGGTGATTTGTTACAGCAGCCACAGGAAACAGGCAACCATCTCTCTGGGGTTCAGCAGAGTAACAGAATTTAAGGAGGGAACCTAGAAATTATCCAGATCTACCTCCCTGCTGCTTACGAGTCCTTGTCCATAGTCTGCTTGCATACCTCCCTGGATGGGGAGCTCTTTGCCTCTTACGACTGCCCTCCAGTCTCTGGGCAGCTCCAAATTCTTCCCAGGGTGGAGCTGAGATGTGATGACACCCTGGTGCAGGCCTTCCAATCCTGCACCTCCTTACACAGAACAGCGATGTAGTAATGTTAAGACCATTCTCATTCTTCAGTGTCTCTGCCTCCACTCCTCCCTGCCCCTCCAAACAGAGTCAACTCTCTTTCGGAGAGCTGACCATCCCCACTTCTTAAACGCTTTTTAATGAGAAGTGGCCTCAAGAACTCTACAACTGCATCACAATGAATGCCTCTCTGCCTAGAGCGCTTTCTCCTCACTGTGCCCATTTCTAAAGCAGAAATTCAATCTTGCCCCTCCTTGTTGCAAAGTCTCCCTGGCTCCCAGACACAAACCCTGCTGTGCGTCAATGACTCTCACACTATGTGGGACCCAGACTGGAACACAACCCTTCCTGGGAGATCTGGTCAGAATGACACAGTCACCTTCTTGTTTTGAGCCTTTCATATATCAGTTAGGGCTGTAGGTTACATGGTACAGAAATGTCAGCATAAGACACCAAAGTCTGGGTTTTCTGGAAGCTCAATTTGAACATATAGAGGGAGTGTGGGGCTCAGGAATGGTTTGATCCAGGAACTCATGGAGTTATCAAGAAATTGTCTCTTTCTCTTTCTCTGTTCTATATTGTGATAATGTTTTGATAGGTCATCTTGACTAGGCTACCATCCCCAGTTATTCTAACACTAATCCAGATATTACTGCGATGGTATTTGTAGGTATGATTAGAATCCTTATGCAATAATCTCTATATAAGGGACATTGTTTTAGGTAGACTGGGTGGGCCTGATTTAATCAGCTGGAAGGTCTTAAGAGCAGAGCCAAGGCTTCCCTGAACAAGAAAGAGTTCTGCCTGTGGAGTAGCGTGGCCTGTTCTGGTGACTTCCAGCTTCACTTCCTGAAAGCCTGCCCTACAATTTTGTACTTTCTTGGCCAATATCCACAAACACACAGGGCAATTCCTTTCAACAAGTCTCTTAATGTCATTCTGCCACTGGTCACGCTTCTTGGGATGAACTCTACCTGACACATCTGCCATTAACTCCATCCCAAAGTCAGACCCCATCTTGAGAGGTAGGGTCTCCCTTGTGATCACTGAAGAAAGTCCTGAGCTTTCTGTTAGAAGCAAACCCTGCCCATGCCTTGTCCAAGCCTCCTTAGCCCCCAGATTTAAGAGCAGGTGGGCTAGGCTTCTCATGCCAGCACCACCCTCTGCCTTGGCCCTCCTCTGGTGATAAGTGCCTGCTCTGTCCACCTTAGGGTAAGCCAGAGTTTTGGGGACTCTTAATCCCCCCCATAAGTAGCCCTCAATCAGTGATTCATGAGAGTTGGGAAGAGTCTGGCTTCTGGTTAAAAACCTATGTGTCATCCATGGGCAGTTACAACAGCTCTACCCAGCAGGCCCCCAAGGGATTGGGAGAGCTGCTCTCCCAACCCGAGGCTTGGGACACAGCTAGAGCTTTGCATGCAATCTCTGAAAGGAGTTGCTATAAAACACTCAGGCTCCCAGGCTGACCAAACCCTTTCCCTATTTGCCTGGCACCTTTACTTGTGGGTCTTTTTATCTGAGGACTTGGGCCAGGTCCTCAGGCGCCTCTGCAGAGACCTCCAAGTCGAGGAGTGGGGAATCCTTGACACCACCTCCCCTACTCTGACTCAGGACCCAGCACTTTTCTACCTGGAGCCCTTTCCTTGCCTCCCCCAGGGTACACAGACCAGCAGGAACCTTTCGGTGGGCCTCCCTCAGCAGTGAGACGACCCCCACCTCTGCATCTGTGCTGGTCCACTTGATCTCCCATAGTGATGTGAGGATTTATCAGTCCAGGGGGCAGGGAGATGGAATGGGGAGTTGAGCTTCCTCTGGTTTGGCTTCTTTAGAACATTGCAGTGAGTGATCAAAGCCTTAACTCATTTTTGGCTATTGCTTTAACTCGGCTGTTCAGACACCTGCGGCTCAGCTCTGTTTCAGTTCAGCTGAGCTCCTGACTCATTGCCTGCTCCTTTGCCCTATTGGTGGGATAACTCTGAGGTGAGTTCTACAGGGTCTCCCAAAGTTCCCAGCAGGATCAAGCTCCAGGGATCACGTGAGAACTCACTTGATGGCAGGAACTCCATGGATGTATTGGCTTTCTGCCCTTCTCTGTCTCATGTTCCCACTTCTCTACAAGTGTTTTCTAGGCTCACTCTCAAAGAAACCTCTTGCAATCAAATCCTTGTCTCAGAGTCAGTTTTTGGGGAAACCCAAACTGAGACTATGGTACTGACCCAACAGAGGAGTCCCCTTTAAACTATGGCAAGACCAATGTGTTGTACTGGAGCGAGCATAGAAAGTCAACACCAAGACAAAAGTATGCCAAATTGCAGGGTCTTTATTGCCGGCAGCCACGGAGGACTTGCCTCTCTCCAACCCATGGCCCCGAAAGGAGGGTGTTAAGACATTTTATGCCTGTAAACTACCTTGGGGATGAGGGTGAGGGGCAGGGGTGGGGGGCTAGGAACTTCAGACATCCCAAGGGCCAGTGGATTCTGTAAATCACCTCCTGGGTGGAGATGAGGGTGAGGGGCTCCAGACATTCCTAGGGCCAGGGGACTTTGGACATTCCGATTGTCACTTAAGTGGTTCACAGAAGTCAAGATAAGTGTTAGTTTACACATTGCCTGGGTAGGGTGGAAATTACAGACCTTAGTTACTTATTACAAGTCACAGGGGCCAAGATGGTGTGGGTTTGGACTGCTTGCCTGTCACATTAGGGTTACTGAGAGCAGTTTCAACAGAAAGCCGAGGTATGGTTGAGGTATGCAGTTTTATGGGGCTTTTACCATGTCACAAATGCGATCACATATATTGGTCTAGTCCACTAATGGGCCGTGAGGGCAAGATGCCCTGGGATGGGGTAAGCGAAGTGGAAGGAGAGACACCACCCCAATGTCAAGCATGCTCATCTTGCTCTAACATAGCCCAGGATGGTCCAGGACGCCACGTCCCGTGACTGACATCTCTCTTAAGCTGCCTCCCTTCCAGGCCTCCACGACTCTCTCCCAGTGCAGACATACTTATCCCAGCAGCAGACATACACAGGATGAGAAGATCCTTCTGG